TTTCCCCTTTTCCATACTTAGCTCTTTGGAAGAAGTTCACTATGTGTAAAGGAGTGAGAAGTTATGCTACAGGCTTAGTAGTTACATATAAGGGAATTATTCTGCATGGGAGATTTGTCTCTTCTCTCCCATTTATTTATTCAACCATCCATTTCTACCAGTCTGAACACATGGATATTAATTTTATACTTTGGGTTATAATCCAATGACTTTTTGCTCAAGTTGTTCCAGCTTTGGCCATTGGGAGCTCTCTCTATTGGCTCCTGTGTCCCTCTGCCATACCTCAATCATTGTGTTCTTGCTTGATTTGATTTCTGGATTGTTTGTTTGTTTCTTAGTATCGTCTTACGTTCTGGTACTAGAAGATGCTCCAGGCTCACCTTGTGTATCCCCTGTAACCACTTCTAGAATTAGCCATTTCTCCTTACACTGAAGAATGGTATCAGAAACCAAGATCTAGGAGCTAGGTTCATTTATTTTTATTCTCTATTTCCCCCCCTTTATCATTCTTTAAACTCAATCTTTTTTCTGGGATTGTAAGTCTAGTTTCTTCTTACGTAAACTATTTCTATTCTCATTTTTAGGTTTTTCTATAAACTACCTGTTTTTAAATGAGCAACTTATTTTATTAGTTTATCTAATTTTAGTTTCTAAATTTTACCTCAATTATTTTTAAGTCTTCCTAACCTTAATCATATTTTATATTTTTTAAAAAAGATTCCCTATTTGTCTTTTTTTTTTTTTTAATGGCCTCTAAGAAGGAGAGTGAGTAGTGGAGAAAATCTGTATTATAGACTGGAGAGAATGCAGACTGTCCACCCCACCATGAACTTCTGTACCTGTCTTTCTGTTCTCCCAGCAAACTTCCCAGTCTAGTCAATTAAGGCTTTGCAAAGCCTCTCTCCAGGGAGGGTTAAGGATCCATTCTCTGCATGCCATAAGCCTAAGTATGCCATGGTACCAGTGATTCTCTAAGACAGCACTGCCTTTTTAACATCTCCTGCTGTCCAATTCTTAAAGAAGGACTCTGTCAAAAAAAGCCACCGTGTCTAAAATATTTAACCTGGGGAAGGACAAGAAACAAGCCAGTTTTCACTGGTTACCAGCTGGGAAGGAACAGTCCTAGGCAGGTCACAGACAGACAGAGCTATCTCCAGGGAGTAATCACCAATGCTGAACCAACGGCCATCCATACAAAGGGCTGAGGAGAAAATGTATAGCCAGGTTCCCAATACAGTTATCTAATTTTTTAAAAACTTACTTTGGATATGTTAAAAGTAAGCTATGAAGGAGAGTTTTCAAATATACACAAAAAGCAGACCGAACCGCATATGAACCCCTCACACTATCTGAATCAAATGAAAGACATCGCGATCCATCAATAGTTCAGTCCATATCTTTAAAAGAAAAAGACTCTTATCACACCTAAGAGAATGGACAGTAACTCCTTTAATATTATTAAATGTACATTCAGTGTTTTTTTGTTTTTCTTTAAAAAATCAGAATCCAAATAAGGTCCTTACATTGAGAATCATTAATACATCTTTTAAGTCTTTTCCTAAAGTTCCCTCCAACCTTTTTTTTTTTCCTTTGCAGTTTATGAGGAGTCTAAGCTGTCTGCCTATAGCTTTCTTACTGTCTAGATTTTGCTGAGTCCATCCCAAGGAGTCATTTAACATGTTCATCTGTTCTATATATATGTTCTATAATTCTCCAATTTGGTAGCTGAATCTAGAGGCTTGATCAGATTCAGGTTCAAAAAAATTTTTTTTGGCAAAACCACTTTGTAGATAATGATATAGTCTATGAATAGGAAGTATGTAATGATAGACTGTCTGTGTGAAGTGATGTTAACAGCTATTAATGTTTAGTGCTTATGTCTACTAATCTGCTAGTCATTGTAAAATGGTACTATTCTATCATTCCTG